AGGTGCAAGCTGCTGCGATGAGGAGGAGGGCGACAGGCCGACCTTTGTGCTGGCCGAGGAGAACCCGGGCCTCCCCGGGGCGGGGGGCGCGAGGGCGACCGTGCCCGCGCAACAGGTGCCATTGGGCAGTGGGCCGCTGGGTGTCCCGCCGCAGGGTGCACCGCAGCAGGGGGCGGGCGCGGGCGTGCCCATTGGTGGGGGAGAGGCCGCACCCGTCAGCGGTGTCGCGGCCGCTGCGGCTGACGCTGCGCCAGTCGAGCCCATGGCTGATCTGAGGGTTTCGGAACAGACGAGGATGTGGCAGAGATGAAGGGGAGGGAGAGGGAGGCGGTGGTCTAGGCGAGCGGAGCGAGCCGAGCGATAGCGAGGTGAGCGAACGCTGGGCAACCGCTGGGCGACCGCTGGGCGTGTTGAGCGAATGTTGAGCGTTGAGGGCCTCGCGTGGCTAGGAGGTGAGCGAGACGATTGGAGTCTGTGTTGTATCAGTTTCTGACGGCGATCTAATATTAGTGTTTTCCAAGTGTCCCCGATTATATAGTGTTCAACCATTCTGATGCTATGCTGTGCTTTGTGTAACGTCCTCGGCGAAGGGTTCAGAGAGACTTGGCCTCGGGCCTGAGCTCTCAGACCTCGTGACAGCCCTCGTCTCGATGCCCACTGCCCGCGTTGCCGGATGGCTCGGAGCCGTGCTGGTGCGCATGGTGCGGTGCAGGATGGCATGTCGTCGTCGAGGCGCACCCAAGTCGAGCAGTCCGTCGGGTAGGTGTACGCTGTACTTGGCTGGGATAACAAGACAGGACCACGGCCTGCGGCGTTCTGAAGAGCTCGTTGGCCGCTCACAGTATCATGGTTCCGTGCCGGCATTGCTGACTGCTGACCCAGGGGGGGCATGGACCTAAAGTTGGACGGCTGCTCTGAACGGGGCTCGGCAGATACAGCGGGCATGGAGGGCATGGAGCGACCTGAGGTGACCTGAGGTGGCTCATGGAAGGCTTTTACAGGACACGAGTGCATGAGGCTACAGTATGATGCCGTTGTGAACTTGGCAGCGGGCGAAAGATTCGCTGCCTGCATTTGTATTTGAATGTGAAGGGAATACAGTACAGTAAGAGTATTTAGGTTCACGACTGGGCGGTCAGGGGAGAGCAAGGGTGTTGACGCAAGAGGGAAATGATCGTGTAGTAAGTAAAGGATTGACGAGCGAGGGGCGCAGGTAGCGCGAATGGAGCATGAGAAAGCGTTCTCAAGGTGTTGAACTCGTACCATACTGCGTACGGTTGGCCTAGCCGAGCGCAGCGTAGACCTCGTCCCAGAACAGATGTTCGCCCCCTCCATGCTTTGGGGCCAGGTCAACCAGAAGGTTGTACACGAGGGACCCGTTGAGCGTGGTAGCGTACGAGCACAAAAGGTACGCGAGGACTTCGCGCGCTGGCGAGATCGGATCGGCGGGTGGCGAGCATGCGGAGAGCGTCACTAGTCCGAGAACGACCTTGGAGAAGCGAGGACGGGCGATGGCAGAAACATGGCGCACAGCTTGGCAAAGCTCGCGAGAAGGCTCGCACATGCCGAGCGTAGGGGTCTGCTCGACGTCCTTGAAGAACTCTTGGGCTGCCTGCTGCCTCCGTCAGCGCCATGAGAGTCAGAGTACGTACGTGGTGCGTGTGGGCGAGAGCATCGCTGGTTGACTTCTAATCTACTACAGCCGATGCGCGAGCCAGGCGGGCGTTCCCCAGCCGCATACCGTCCACAAGGATTAGCGGGCCGTGGTATGTGGTGCCTGCCGTCCTGGCGCACGTCTCCCTCTCAACTTCCTCGAGGAAATCCTCCATGGACTGGATGAGATCTATCGCCCCTTCGTAACCCTCCGTCGGATCCCTGATCTTCTCTTCTTGTCGCTCATGCGACAGTCAGAGGTTTCTTAGCTCTTCCTCCGCCGTGATACGGAGAGCCTGCTCGGTCTTGAAGGCCTGCTCCATCTCGCGGACACGGTTAGAAGCGTTCTTGCTGTGGTCGTCCATCTTGTCGGCCATCTGGGACTTCAAAGGTGAGAGTTGGGTTGTGACTTGTTAAGATGGCTTGTTCGTGTTGAGCGGCAGGTGTTTGGACCGGCAGTCGGCGCAGTATGCGTGACCCGAGCATGACATACCAGCCAATAGCTGCAGCTATGAATCAACTCTGAGCTAGCGTCTCTAGTGCCCAAGCTGCTGCGCTGCCTGAGCTGCTCTGTATAGTATATATAGTTGTGCGCTTTGCCACTCGCTCTCATCGTTTCTCGTCTTTCGCCCCTCCTGGTCGATCAGATCATCGGCATCGTACTTCAACAGCACCTATCATCCAGACTCCTCTTTGCAGATGATAAGCAACGCCGTCCTCACGTCAAACCCCAACGAGGTACCGGGGCCCGTGCAGCGCAGGCACCTGGAGTTCTCGCCTGGAAGCGGGCGCACATCAGTGACTGCGCCAGCTGCGCCACGGGCCAGTCCCTCGACCGAGGCCTCTCGCAGTGATGAGGATTCCCCGTACCCTCCCAGTGATACGTCAAGGTTGCCACCGACATCCTCTGCGGCATCTCCCTCAGCGTCGATGATCAACACCTGTCCCCATGCAGACTTGCTGGCAAGCGAAATCTTCGACACTACGACCCCGTCACAGGCTGTGTCCCACTCCCAGCCGCTACCGCGACCTGCGCAGCCCAGATCACACGACGACTCACGCCCGCACGCCTTCCCTGTAGGCAGCCTGATCATTCACGAAGCATGCGATAACTGCGCTTTCGCACAGTCTCAGCTCGACTCGTATGCAAGGGGCACAGCAACGATCGCCAGCATGAGAGAATTGCAGGTGCGTTACGATGACTTGCTGGAGCGCTCTGAGGATCTGCGCAGTAAGTACGCAGTCCTGCACACTCGGGCGAAGCGTGTTCAGGAGCGATTCCAGAAACTGGCTGCGCAGGCTAAGGCGAGGAGGCACGTGTGAGAGGTTGCGGAGGATTTGTGATGAACTGAGCGAACTGTGCGCGCCGGCGCCGCACACGATATCTAGTTGTTTCCGCCGTAGTTACTCCTGATGCATTGTCAAGTACACTCCACAACACCTTGGAACCGACTGCTCATTCGGCTCCTGACTTTCGATCTCAGTGAGCTTGTATTGGCTTGTGAAGGAGGAGAGAGCTTGGCTGAGCTTGGTGTGTGCTGCTTCGAGCTGGTTCTTCTCGTGGCGCACATTAGCTAATGCCTGGGTCAGCGCGGCAATCGGCTCAGTCGGTTTTTAGTGGCCAAGATAAGTCCGGGGACGCGACGGGTGGGTGCTTGTAATAGGCAAGTGAATGAGAAAGGGTCAGAATGTTATCAACAACTGGATGGCTTTGGCTTACTAGCGGCGTGGCGCTAATGACGGTAGCATTCGCAGTGAAGTCAGCCATCGAAGGGTCCTTGACTCATGTTTACTCACTATGCTGTTAACGTGTTAACCATTGACCAATCTGCTCTCCTTTGGAACGGACCCTTCACTCGTGTGTTCATGGTCCGGGATCGCCACGCTCTCCGCTTGTCTCAGCAGCGGCGATTTCAACCCGCTCTCAGATTACCGCCCTCCTTTTCAAAGTCCTCTCTTCCAATGAAGAGCGATACTCCTAAGCCATTCAAGCGCCAGCGAGAGGTGCAGGAATCAGAACCAGGTGAGCTTCTGGTGAGACCCTTGCAGAAGCGGAAGCGTAGCTCAACATGTGCGTCTGCGGGCTTGATGGGTGGCTGCGCGCCGGCGCCCTCTCCAACGTCACCACCCACCAGCGAGAAAAGCCCCTCAGCACCGCAATCCTTCTGCCCTAGGGCGACTCTAATCGTGCGTGACTTCCTAAACTCGCCATCGTCATTGCTCTCGCCAAATCCTCCCAACTCGGCCTCACCCTCGCCACCCGTATCCCCGGGCCCCCCTTCGACCTGCCCCTCCGCAGCCCCTGACGGCTCCCCCTGTGCGAACTGTGTCTTCTGGCAATCCCAGGCCGAGTCCTCCGCGCGGAACAAGCAGATCCTATCAAGTGCACGAGAAATAATGTCCGAATGCAGGCTTATGCACGCCGGCGCGAGGCGGATGTGTGTCGAAACAGCCGTCATGAAGATCCGCACTGAGCATGTGCATGAGCGTGTTCAGAAACTGGTGGGAAAGGCTGGGGCAGCAAAGTACATCCGCGAGGTGGCTGAGGAGCTAGAGCCGGGGCTGAAGGTTGGGGACGCTTGTGAGTTCTTCCAAGGGGTGGAGAGAGAGGAGGGTAACTGAACTGGCGATGACGGAGACGGAGGAAAGGTCAAATGCATCTGGATCGGATCTCTTGAAGGTATGAGAAGGTCAAAAGGTGCAAGCTGCTGCAGAAGTTGGAGCGGTAACTTACGCCCAGCTGTTAGAAGATCGCGAGAGCCGCTGTAGACTTGCTTTCTCCCCCTGCAGCCTCCGTACGTTGAAGTCGGCAGATCTAAGCTGCTCTTCTGACACCGCAATATCTCTCCGGAGCCGCTTGTTCTCGGCGATGATAGGGCTCAAGCCAAAGGTGAGACGCAAGTTGTGAACTGCGAAGGAGCGTAGAGCAGGTGTGAGGCGTGGGGAGGAGTAATGATGATCTGATGCGTATGTGTCGTAAAGTCCGAGGGCGACCTTGATCCGTAACCAGAACTTGTCTACTGGCGGATTTTGCGTTCCGCCGGTGCGGAACATAGTGGCCCTGCTCCCAAGTTGGCCAATCAGACAGCAGAACAGTCTGTGAATACTGCAGTAGGGGACTTTTCGACACTAATGCTGGAACTCGATGTTCGATTCCTACCCAAGTCCCCTAAGTTCTGTTTTTTGCTGAAGCTCTTTCTGCACTGCTGCACACGCGCATGCATAGTAGCATTGATTTTTAGTGTGCGCAATGAGTTTGATTCCAATGGCCTGTGATTCTCAAATTGTTAGCTGTTCTGGATTCGGGAAAACAATCAGAAAATGGCGGGAAAACAGGCGTTTTCTTAAGGTTATTCCACTTGGGAAAGTGAGTGCGCCCTACGTGGTAATGCCTCAGATGCTACATCCTCCCCGTAACAGGACCAGGGGGAGGCAGGGGAGGCGAGGGGGCAAGGAGGCAAGGGGAGAACTGCGTTCATGAGTGTGGCACCTCGCTGCTGAAAGCAATTACCTCAGTCCCACAGTCCCTATTCCTCTTCGGCGATTGTTCTCACTGCTCCTTGCCACGGTTCTGATTCAGCACTCCATCAGGGGCTCTAACATTAGTAAGACTATTCAGCATGTCAGTGGAGGCAGTAGCGGCCACCAATGCCTGTGGGTGGTCGACGGCGGGACGTAGGGGGACGTAGGGGGACGTAGGGGGACGTAGGATCGTTCGAAAATCACAGTGCTGGTGAAGAAGCCGGCGGGGGTTGCAGTTCTTCTGACTTCGGTCTGTGTGAAGTGAAATGGTGAGCCGTTGTTGCTCGGTGCTGTGATATCGTCATATCGCTTACGTTCTGACAAGATCAATTACAGCGTCCGGGGCATCGCGCCTTCTACAATGTACTATCAAGCATCCTACATTCTAATGTCCTGGTTGGATATCTCTCCTCGGCAATGTCAGGTTACCACTCAGCGCATGGGTCGCTGGTTCTCGACGGCGATGAGACGCTTGGTGCCCACGATACAGTCGATGCCCATGTCGCTCACGCCGCGCATGTCGCCCACGCCGCGCATGTCGCCCACGCCGCGCATGCCGCTCACGCCGCCCACGTTGCTCACGTCGTTCTCGACGGTCACGACCGTCACGACCGTAACGTTAACCTCGCCCACGTCCCATCAGGATGCCGGTCCCACCGGTCGCTCGACTTTGCGCGCCTACCCGGCCGCTGTGGCTCAAAGTCAGGCATGGTGACCATGGGAATATCACCCAGTTGATCAGTGGAAGGAGCACACTGGTCTCTGTCTGCACTCGCTGGGAGTTCTGTCAATTGAAATATACGCGGAGACTGAGGGTAAGGATACTCACCTGCGGAGGTCAGGTCGGCGTCAGGCGCAGTGTCAACGAGCCTGAGCAACCTCTCCCCATCCAAACTTCGCAGCGACGGAGGGATCCATCCCAGGTCCGTCACTCGATGCGCAGTTCCATTCGCAGACTCGGCATCTTCGGCTGAAATAGGAATACAAGACGCTACGCGGGCGGGTAGACAATCTATTAGCACATCGAGACTGGCTGTGCTGGTCGCAAGATCGTCCGCATTGTCGAGGAGACCCTCGACAACGTCGCAGAGCTCGTTCATCCCAGTTCCCCGGCGCAAGCACGACAGGAGGAACTCCAGCGCTGCCCTCGCTGCGGGAGCGTCAGTCACTAAGCAGCAATCGGCAAGGGTGCGGATCACATGCGACAGACCTGGGTGCGCGTGCGCGTTGCGCTGCGCCGCCGCATCTTGAAGTGCGTCTTGAGCTCGTCGTGACAACGGCCGCCTTGGCCCCATGTCGCGCATGAGATCCTTGAACCTTTCAAGCTTCTGCTCAACGCTGTTAGCGCCCAGTACCCAGATGACGTGGCAATTTTCAAACTTACATCTGCGTTCGTGATCTCCTTTGGCCGCTAGTCCAAAGATGCGGACTGAAGCCCGCTCTGCCGCAGCTTCATCATACCCGTCTCCATCGCCTTTTGGGCGGCGATGGGCAGGACGTCGTCAAGAAGACGGTGGAGACTTGCCTGCCGGGTGCCTAGTACGTAGTACTTGGCGTGCGTTTGGGCTTGCGTAACCGCTGTCTCCCTCCATCTGCGACGTGCATCGTCACGCTCAATCGCTAGGCGAGCGCACTCCCGCTTCAGGCTCGCATTCGCCTCCTGCAGCTGCCCCACGTTAGCGTGCGCGGTTCTGAGCTGCTCTCCGAGCACAGAGATGTCTCGGAGCAGACGCTTGTTCTCGGCGAGAATGGCGCGGAAAGAATCGCGCATGCTGATTGTACGGGCGTGGGGAGGGTTGCCAGAGCGAATTCGCAGGGCTCGGGTAAGCTTGATGCTGAGTGGCGGCAGGTCGGGGCACGGCGGGCGTACAGACACAAGGAACCGAGAGTGTGAGCTTTAGTCGTGCATTGTGCATCAACAACAGACATAAAGCGCGCCATGCGCCATGTAGTGTCGGTCGGCACTTGGTACTGTGATGCTTCCGTCGGACCGTCGTGCTTAGTGTGTCACACTAGTCCACTGCGGAGGATCCCACCCAAACATTACATCTCTCTCTCCCACCTCTTCTCTCGCTTTCAACTGTCCTGCTCCCTTTCTCACTCTATTCCGACCACCCCACGAACTACTCATTTCTGGCTCAAAGCTCTCAACCTCGCCGTCCATTTCCGCCACTCGTTTGTCCCTCGCGCCACTCTAGTTCTTCTGAGCGGCACTGTCGCCTCTCGCCTTCCCTCATTCCTTGGCATACACACCCTGGTGATCTCGGTCAGAAACACGCAGATGACGATCTCGCGCCGGCGCATGACCTCGGGCGTGAAGCGCAAGCAAGGCGGTGAACCCTGCAGTCACACCCTATTCGCCACCCACCAAGCGTCGCTTGTGCCGCGCACCTCCGTCCAGCAAGTCCAGCCACTACCGCTCGCGCTCGACCTCATCAACCTCTTCTTCCACAGCTTCGTCATCTCGCTTTTCTTCCTCCAGACGCAGCGCCAGGCACCGCGCCTCGCCCGCGTACCCCGGCCACGTTCCCTATGACGAAAACAGCCCCCAGTGGCAATTCGTTCAACGCCTTATCGCGGAGGGAGAGGAGCTGAACCGATCGGTGCGCGAAGGCTCAAGGAGGCAGGCGGAACTGGAAGTGCGAATGAAAGAGGCCGAACTGGAGTACGCGCAGATGAGCGCGTCCTACGACCGCATGATCGCATCTTATGACCGCATGAAGCAGGAGGCGGACCGAATGCTGGACGAGTGCCGTCAAATCGACACACTGCTGCTGCCACCGGTCCCCTCCTTCCCCCTCAGCCAAGCTCCCGTCGAGAACACGTCTTCTTCCCCTCGACACGACGCCAACTACAACAACCGAGACTCTGTCCCCAGCTCGCCGCAGCCGAGTAGGCGACGTCGCGTCGACTACAGGAGCATGTGGGACCAGACCGCCCTGTCGCAGGTTCGGCCATACCGCACGGACTACAGGAGCATGTTTGATCAGACGGAGCCGTAGATTTTAGAGTGTTATCGTGTTCATCATAGATTTACAATGCATCAGGACATTGCTAAAGACTAGGTCAGAATCGAGCAAGTCGATGTTTGGTTGCCCGCGTCCCCCTCCGTTCGCCACAGGGTACCTCGCTGCCGATAGCGGACACCCCCGCTTTATTCAGCTCACCAACTCATATTCTGCGCCTCGATAACTGTCTCACAGCTGTCCATCCCGGACAAACATGCGGTGGACATACACCTGCATGCAGAGGAAGCCACCACTGGGTGGTGCTTGGGGCACACTCTGGGTGACGGGGGTGGCCGGGTGGCCAGTTCCATGCCCTGGGTTGGCCCCCGACTGGCTGTACCGCAGTTGCACCGTTGCCAGCTGGGTTGTAGGTGAAGGAGAAGGAGTACTTCATTTTGAAGAGTCGCTGAGACGGTGAGACGGTGAGACGGTGAGAGGAAAGCGGGGGGAGGAGAGAGAGATGACAGTTTTGGTCACTGCACGAGGTGGCGCAGGCTGTTGAAAAAGGAGAAAACAGAAAGTCAGGCGCACATTGATTTACAGTACGCGACCGCTGGCGCCGTTGGTGCCACCAGGAACCACCATCGCTGTGGCTGCGGTTGATGGCAGCGCAGCTGACTCGATGGTCAAGGCGTCCTGGATGTTCTGATTCCGGATGCTTGTGAATGCATATGCTTGCTGCTCATCTGTGGTGACATGGCAAGCTCCTGGGCGATCCAGACAAAAAGATAGAGGCATGCATGATAATTCTGACAGTTTTCACCTATTTATCTACGGCCCACTTCCTCTCCCGCCCCCATGGCCAGGCCTCTCTGCCGCATCGATGAGGTACCGTCCCTCGATACGGGCACACTCTCTTTCCATCTCCTCCGCCCTCTTGCGCACATGCTCAGCCTTGGCCGCCAAGAAACTCAGGTCTCGCTGCATCTCCTCCAACTCAGTACGCAGCTTGGCCTTCTCCTCCCGCATCGTCTTTAGCCGCCTCAGTTCCAGCAACTCGTCGAAGAGTTCCCGGGCCGCGGCCCCCCTCCTACCAACGAAGGTGGGCCGCTTGGACGGCCACTGTCCCCCAGCCTCCTCCGGATCGCTGTCTGTCCACCTCTCCTCGTGGGCATACTCCTTGCTGGCGCGCCACTGCCGTGTTCCGTAGTATCCATCGCGCCAGGGCAGCTGCTGTTCCGGATCATCCCTGTATTCTGGGTCGATCCAGGTATCGTGTGGCTTGAACGGCTCGGGCTTGGTCTGGTTCTTGGGCTTGGGCGCGGGCTGAGGCCTGGGCTGCCCGTATACTTGTTGAGCCCAGCTCGCCCTCCCTTCCGCCCCCCAACCCCGGCTGTACTCGCCATACCCGGCCTCGCCATTCTCGGTCGGCTATAGTCCGTAGCGGCATAGTCACCGACACAGGTCTCGCAGTATCGCCCGTCGGGCCTGTTGATCGCAGCCCGGTCCCAGACCCACTGCGGGTTCCACCAGGACAGGCGTTGGCGCGTCCACCCCATCCCTGGGTCTGCTGGCTCGCCGTCGCTGTCCCACGCATGCTGCCTAGGTTGCTGGAAGTAGACACCCTCCCCGAAGTTGTTGGTGGCGTGCAGGTCGCGCGGGTTGGTGGGTGGCGACGGTGGTGACGGCGCTCTGCGTGGCGGCGGTGGCGAGCTTGGTGATGGGGCTCTGGAGGTTGGTGCCCAGCCTGGAGGAAGGCGCGGACCGATGAGAGGCGGCGAGAGCGTGTTGATCATCGACGCGGCGGAGGCAGAGGAGCGCTCAGATGAGGGTGGCGACACAGTGCGGCGCTTGGCCGGTGGCGACCTCATGTCCCACTGGTTGCCGTATTTGCGCTTGCTGGTACTGAGGCTGGAGAGGGACATTGCCGCCGTGCTGAACAAGGCGGTAAAGTCTTGGGGTTTTGACGAGAGGAGGAGGAGTACGTTATGCGGACCGGCCGCAAGAGGAGTGGCGAGAAGAGCAAAATAAGGAGAGAGGGCTAGAAGCAAAAGATATGAGTCGACCGCGACCGAGAGCCGCGGTGGTGGCTAGCGCACTAACTTTGCAGCCGTCGTCGTTACCCTCGACTCCGTGGTCGTCACCTGACACTCTCTTGGTGGCGAATCATCGCTCGTTTCGCTCTGGTCTCACTCGGTACGCATTATATCATCACATCATAACATCATACAGTAATATTACACTTTAGTGTCCATGTTTGAGCAACCCCTTGCCCGTGAAAGCGCTCGGGGTGTTGTGCACATCGAGCAAGGTCTGTTCCGGCCGTCGCTGGGCCATGCTCTTACTTCGTCCAAGGTTCTTCGTCTTGGGCGCCATCGCGGCTGGGTTGCCCGTTCCAATGGTGAACGAGCGACTGCTGTACACCGCCGTGTGGAGCTTGTAGCCCGTGCTCTCGTCTGAGGCGATCGTGAAGAGGAACTCGTCGGGGCGTTCAAAGGAGGCGGAAGGTTCGAGACGCTTGATCGCGAACACGAACGGCTGCGGCGCGCCGTAAGATTGCTGGGGACGGTAGACGTCGCTGAACAGCGTGTTCAGCTGCACCTCGTCCTTGCCCTTGTCGTTCCTGCTGAGGAAGACTTGTCCGCCCCGCGTCTCCAGCCAGCGCTTGCTCCACTTGCCGGGCTTGACTTCGAGCTGGCACCACCCGCCCACGAAGGGCGCCGACTCGGGCACTTGCCGCGCGAGAGTGAGCGCAGACTCGCGAATAGCGAGGCAGTTGGCCGCAGAAGCGTCCCAGCCCTTGACGAGCGAGGCGATGTTCTCGTAATCGCGGACCTGGCGCTCAAGCCCGCGCTCCGTGAACACCTCGCACACGACCCAGGCAGCGTTCGCGGTCGGAGCCGGGAGCTTGCCCTTCAGCTGAGACAGGATTTCGCGCGCAATCGTGTCGTGGTACACGTCGATGCTGATTTGGCGGATCTCGTCGGCGACAACGATGCAGCGGACGGGCTGGGCTCGTCCCCGGGGAAGAGGCGGGACATCACCGGACGGCGGAGGGTGGCGCGCGCCGATACTGTGCGATCGCTGACGGGAACGGTGCTGAGCCGCCGAGGTGCCCGACGCCGGGCGCGATTGTCCTTGAGACGGCGCCTGGCTGTGGCTCGAACTGGCGTGGTTTCCGTGGTCAGAGGGGTTCGGAAGCGGACGTGCGCTGCTCGGCCTGCTAGGACGAGAGCTCATCGTTGTGGCACGAGAGAGGGCGGGGGAAGGCGATTGGTCCGACGAGCGGTGGGGCCGGCGCAGGCTGCGCTGCGAGCGGAGAGGAGCCGCAAGGCCGCCGTTCGCGCTCGAGATGGCGACATTCTCCAGCCTTCCAGCAAGAACATCAGCGGGCACGCCACCCTCGCCGTTCCAGTGCGCCGCGGGACGAAGAGTGCCGTCCGAGTGCTGGTTCTGCTTGTGGGAGCGAAGCTGGCGCTCACGCTCGGCGCGGCGGGCCTCGCGGCGAGCGAGAGACCGAGCCCGCCTCTCCTGTTGCTGCTGCGCGGCCGCGGGATGCAGCTGCGATAACGGCGTCTCGTCCTGCTCGTTCTCGGACGAGGACGTGTCCATGTCGTCGATCCACTGTTCCGGGCCAGAACGCACACGCTGGCGGGGCTCGTTCGACTCGCGACGCGATCGCGAAGCCCCAGCTCCGGGAGAGGGCATGCCGGAGCCCAAGCGCTGATAAGCTTCGCGGTGCTCGTGCCTTCCCTCGGATGTGTGGCGGTGCGGCTCGCGCCGGCTGCTCGATCGCTGAGGAAGTTGAACACCTAATCCGTGACTGGGCTCGGGCTCAGCGGCGGCGTGGGGGTTGAAGCCTTTGCGCTGGAGTGAGTAGTCGACGGCCATCCTCTTCAGCTTGTTGGGAGTGGTGGCGAGGTCGGGGTCGCACGCTGTGCACGAGCTGGGCTGAGAGGGGATGTCGATGGGGAAAGCGTAATCCTCCGAGGAATGCAGGCGCGGTGAGTTTTCGACCTCAGGGAAGGGAACGGCTGGAACTGCTCTCCCAGGGCTCTGCTGCGAGGTGGATGCGACCTGGGGGGCCTTGTACGAGAAGGCGGAGCCGGGGTGGGAGAGGCCGAAGGGGTCGCAGAAGGAGGCGTCGTCTGCGGCAGGACCGAGGGGATGGATGGGCTGGAGGGTGTTGGGGTTGATGTCGAGCTGGTCGTAGAGCTGCTGGAACGAGTTTGCCGACTCTGGGCGGGGAGGAATGTCGTCCTGGTGGTGGTCGCGTGAGTCGGGGTGGTCGCGATCCTTGAGGATGGGGTGAGCGGCGAACGAGTCCGGGTGGGTGTTGGGGTGCGGGGTGCGGAGCTCGAGGGAGGAGCCAGAGACGGAGGCCGAGTGGCGGGGGGCGAGGTCGTTGTCGATGTCTTCGTCTGACGAGTTGTTTGAATGGCGATCGGATGAGATGTGGTGGTGGTGGATCACGTCGCGGTCGCGGTTCAGGCTGGGTCCAGGGAAGGGCACATGGTCTTGGCGCGGAGATCCACCCACACCTCCGTCGATCACACCGCCCGTCACACCTGAAACGCTGCCACTACTGCTGCCGCGCGGAGGGCCCACTATCCGCGACTGCTCAATTGCTTGAGCCTCTTGTTCCGACCCCTGCACAGCCGTCGCTGGCAGATGCTGTTGCTGGGACGCAGGCTCGAGTCGCTCAAGCTCGTCTACAAACGTCGTAGGCGGCGCCGGGAACGCCCGTGACACCTTTGCAATCTCACCTCGTGTGACGCTGCCACAACGGGACCTGGGCTCCTCGTCCTCGCTGGGCGGCACGTCAAAGCTGTCGTAGAACACTGGAGTCTCCTCGGCCGCGTTCGCCTTCTCCTCCACTTCCGTGTCTGTGATATGCAGCGGTGATCGGCTCGGCGTCGGCCTAGGCGAGGGAACATCGGAAGCCGCGGAGGGCACAGTGGGCACGGGGCTGTTCACGATCGTGTGCGTCGGCAGGTCGGGGGTGGGCGGCTGCTTGCTGTCCCTGTCCTTGTCCTTGGAGAAGAACATGGCCATGGAGCTGGGACGCGAGCTGCTCGCAAAGCTCTTGCTCTTGTACAGTCGTGGCATGAGGGACCTCATGGAGGGCGAGTTCAGTCCAGGCGTCCAGGGGCGGGGCACGTCCTCGTCCAACGTCAGCATCGAGTCACGCGTACTGTCCCGTGCAGAGGTTCGGGTCGACGTGCGGCTCATGACGCGGCTGAGGGGGCGGCGGGGCGGTTCGAAAGCAGAAGCGAACGGGTCGGTCTCGAGCGCCTCGTCGGGGTCGATGAGGTTGAAGGAGCGCGTAGACTTGCCCGCCGCCCCGCCCAGAGTGCTGGCCGAGAAAGAGGGATACTTGGCGTCCAGGGCTGCGAGGTGCGCCGCGAGCTCGTCTCCAGCTGGGCCCGAAGAGGGGAGGCCAGAGATCGTCGCAAAGTTTCCGGTCTGGGCCGAGTTTGTCGAATGTCCCGTAGCGACAGGCGACATGGGCGCCGCGCCAGTAGTTCCAGGCGCCATGGGGAAGATGGCGCTGGCAGCGATAGGGTTCGCGACCGGGCTCGAGATACGGCCAAGTGTAGCGGCAGGATTGGCGGGGGTCGCGCGACCACCAGCGGCCTGCTGGCTGGTACTCGTGGGTGGCTTGCGCACTTGGACGGCAGCTCGGGAACTGGCGGTGGAGACGAGAGCTCAAGTCCGTCATAGTTCTCGTGCAGCCCATGGGCCGACTTGCTCCGCCACAGACGCTCCACGTTGCGCTTGATGAACGACTTGGGGCGGTCCTTCTCCTCCTTCTTGGGCTGGGTGGTGATGCTGAGTCGGTTCGAGGCGGGAGCCTGTGCTTGAGGCGGCGCGCGGGGCACAGGGACCGCCTGAGTCGGCGTTGGCGTCGGCATCGGCACTGGTTGAGGCATGGTCCGTGTCGGTGTCGGGCTAGGAGACGGAAGGGGCTGTGGTTGCTGTCGAGGAGTCGTGATAGACGACGCTGACGGACGCGGGCTATGCGCACTTGGCGACGCAGCGTGTACTCGCGCCTCAGCGGCGAGCGCCTTCAGACTCGAGCTACTGCTGCTCGTCGGAATCACGCTCACGTTGACGTGGTCCGCCTTCGTGCTCGCGCTCGCCTTGAGGTCCTTCTTCCCATCGCCCGCAGTGCCGGGGAGCGATCCACGGGAGTTGGTCTTCTGCGAGCGGATAGAGAGCGTGCTCTCGAGAGCGGCCGGGATCTGGGGAACGGCCGGAACGACGTCGGGGAAGTCATTGAAGCCGCCCTTACTCGTCGACTTGCGGCGAAGACGGCCCATGCTGATCCGCTGCTTGAGGCTGAGGTCGTTGCTCGCCACGCTTGCCGCGCTAACGGTCGAGTGCTGAGACGAGATGCTGTGCATCGAGGCCGTGTGCTGGTGCTTTCCAGGGTGAGGCTGGGGACATGAGCTGATGCTCGTCGAGGGCGACATACGCCCACTATGCCGGTTTCCACTGCCACCGCGCACCGGGTTGTCGCCGGCGAGCACCTCCTGCTGCTCGTTAGCGGGAGGGCTCTCGCGGCGCTCGGCGACGCTCTTCCGCGACCACGGCCAGGGGCTCTCGACACTCAATGGGGAAATGATGCTGTCCATCTTTGAGCGGGAGCCGCGGTGCGAGTGGCCCCCATTGCTCTTGGAGGACTTGACGCTCCGCCGGTCCCCCGCCGTACTGTTGCTAAGGCGCTGGCGCCAGCTCATCCTCTGCTCCTCCTCGTCCGAGTCGTCGGACCACAGCCCGTTCTGGGAGTACAGGCCCGTAGCGGGCGTGCCCGTCTCGTGCGCGAACTCGAGCGCCGCAAGCTCTTCGGTCGAAGCTGCTGCTGATGGCGCGTGGGACGGCGCAGGCGTCAGGTCCGGGAAAGAGGCTTGTGCTGCTGTCCGCGGCGTAGTTCCTGCTGACGGTGGGGCCGACTCGGTGATCGTCGCAAGGTTCGAGGCAGACGTCTGCGGAGTCGTGTACGGAACGAACTGCTGCGTGCCGTGCTGAGAACCGTACGGGTGTGGAGGCTGCGAGGGCGACTGGGCGTGCTGGGGAGGCTGGGGAGGCTGGGGAAGCGGTGGTCGCGGGTGCTTCGCTGGTTGAGACAGCTGAGAGTTTTGAAGTTGCTGTTGCTGAGGATATTGCGAGTGAGAATGTGTCGGGACGTGGCCGTGAGAGGACCCAAAGCCCGCAGGCGAAGGCTGCACCATGGTCGTCATGGTGAGGTCGTGGTGAGTCTCCAACCGGGAGGACCTGTCGAGGCACCGAAGTTTGTAATAAGGAGAACGGCGGGGTGAGGTGAGCGGGGTGAGCGGGGTGAGCGGGGTGCGCCGGGTGCACCAGGTGACGGATACGGGCCTACGGGTGTGTAAGAGACTTGAAGCAACCGGTAGCGAGTGGTGAGTCGAGAAATCGCAGTACCTGGAGAACCTAGAGCAAGCCAGACTTGCCGACGGGGCGAAGTCTATCGGCTGTAGAGTTCAGGCTGCGTTTTGGGCGCGTCTGTCAATCAGTCACTTCTGGTCGAGTGGTCGTTGTGGGCGATCGTGTGTGCAAGCGGACAGTGGTGGTGACGAGGGCCGGGTCGACAGTCGAACTAAGGGGTCGGCCAGGAATGGGCAGGTGAAAGAGGGGGGACCGGGCAGCCGGACAGGGGGACGTTTATGAGTTAAGTTAAAATCCAAACGAAAGAAAATCAAGAACGGGGCCGAGCAAGGATGTCAAGTGGTCGAAAGAGGGACGGACGGTCAACAAGAAGCAGTTGTTACGCACCGTTCCTATATCCATGATGGCATGCTGCCTCGCACGCAAACTGTAAGGCTGCAGCGCCTGCAGACTCTCCGCTCAGCCGAGGCTTGACGCCAGGAGCGACAAGCCAGGACGAGGTCAGGTCCGCAGGTCACTGTTCGAGCTGTCAGAAGTCTACCGAACGATCAGTCTGGGGTACCTGGGAGCGACGTCGGGGACTCGGGTCGTGCTCCAGTCTGTCACTGGACTCGAATCCTCTTCGATCCTAGGTAATCCTGTGGTGCTAAGGATAGCATCCTGGGCATGATCCTGCGCGATCCTGGACGAGCCCTGTCTTTCCTGAAGGCACGCCAGCATGTTTACGTCTTTTAGCCTTAGCCCCTTAAGCATCTGCGTCCCCCGCGTCCCTTGCTTGCGAGCTGTCTGCATGGCTGCTTGCCATGGCTGCACTGACCCCTGTGGTCCGGTGACAGCGGCCCCTGGCGAACGCATTTCAGCTCCCAGGCATGCATTCTGGCCACACTGTGCATGGTGCAGTGGTGGAGCCCTGTCTCGCCTCAGCCAAGGTGGGTGGGAAGTAGATAGCGTGACTGTGCGGTAACCCGCCGAGTGCGACAGCGACAGAGGCTACGCCAGCTCAGATGAAACGCGCGACCTCTCTCACTACCCTCGCCAAGCTCCACGGATACATCTGTCTAGCGCGCACAAGGCTCTGACTGCGAGCGCTCCAAATGTAGCACCTTCCATAACTTCATTTCAGTCGACCCTCGGCATGAAGGAGCTGAATGTGGGCGTATTTGGGTATTGGCGTTCGGGCACCATTCAACCCCGAGCGCCCGCAAAATCAGGCTCGTCGCGTCGAGGTCAAGTGGTCAGCGATCAATTCATCTTAGACGCAGCGTTATGCCGCACGCTGTGGTATGTGGGCGATCACTGCGGCTCGCGCGGAGCGTACTATACGCGCTATGCGAGGCGCGCAGCGCGCTTGTCTTTGCTTTTCCGCACTTGGCTCCAACGTCTCCAGATGTTTGCCCACATCTGGCTCACCATTCTCGGGGTATGCCTCGTCATCACTGTACAGGGCTCGACGCCGCGCGCCGAGCGCCACCACACAGAAGCTTGCAGAAGAGGTCCAGCGCCAATGCGCCGAGCGCCTGCCAGCCGCAATAAACAAACCACCGAAGCTTCTGAATGCTCTACGCCGGTTTGGCGCAGGCTGGTACATGCCGGAGGCTGAGCCGGCGCTTCGGCTTGCTCGATCTTCATACCAGAATGCAATTTGGAGGGCGCCTCACGAGGCTTCATGGCGGCTAAGATTGCAGGTTTGCCTCAGGTGACTGACTGATCACTGAATGAGATTCGCCTGAGCCCTGCGTTGCGCCAGGAAACCAAGGTTTGCGGGGAGCAACCCAGTTTGCCTCGCCGAAACCTGGAGAAACCTGGATCGGTTGTGCGCACCTGAAGGGGGGTCTGTGGGACGGGTGCGGCGCCGCGTCCTGGCGCGACAGACCCTCAAACGCACAGACGGCTGCTGTAAACAGAGCATGGTTTGTTATTGTTCTCGGTGCGAGCTTACTGTTCATTGTCTGACGTGTGGATGCGACATGTCTGAGCTCGTCGGCGTACGCATGCGGCGGAGTATCCCGAGCTTCGTTGAGCGGAAGCCGGAGGCTGAGTTGCGCTACGCCGCGATCGCCGCAGATGTTCCATCCGGAAGACCCGCGATGCTGGGCCGAGGAACCTTGTTTTACGATTCATTCATGTGAATAGGCAGCAGAAACGAAAGTCAAACGGCATTGAACGGAGAACACGGAAAGCCTGAAGTCTGAACAGGCCGAATGCAGGCGTAGAAACGAGAACACAGCGTAGCGATTCGTCGAGAAGAGACTGGGGTACACGAATCTGAGACAGCACTGCGCGTAAAGGAATAACGACGAGAGATTGAGGTCGTGATAAGGCGTATCCGCCGTTTCGAATGACAGCCCGCTGGTCCCCCGTTAAACCCCCCGCAGTCTGTCCGCCTGTCCGCCAGACCCGAACGTCTGAGAGTCAGTGGATCCAGTCTCAGAACAAGGTTGCGTCAGCACGATAAGAGGTGCGCGAGTGCGCGCGTGCATGCGAATGCGAGGCGCGCCTTGTATCATCTTGCTCACCTGTGTCGCCTGAATCTCACGAATCATGCACCTGGGCATTCGCTCCATCACCACAGTCCCAACTGCGTACCGCGTACCCGACGTGCCAGACTAAGTCGTCTTGGAGATGGACTTGACGGCGGCCTCGAGCTTCCTCTTCTTCTCGAGCACGTAGAAGCGGTTCTGGCATGCCTGCTCGTCAGCAACACGCAGCACGGTGCGTCGTCCAGCTCGTCTTTGTCTGCCAGCCTCCAAGCTCTGCATGCCGTCCGACCGTTCCTCGTCCCTCGCTGGTTCCTCGACCTCTGGACCTCACACATCATCAGCGGGTGCTGCGCCGTGCTCTTCACCGCAGCGTCGCGCTGGATTTCTAGCTTCCATCCAGATTGGCACCCGAGGAACTGGAGACAGCTGGGGAACAAGAGTACGCCAGCCCATATGCTGTGCAGCTGGGCTGCTGGTCAGCGCTCGTCGTCTGGGCAGGCCCGGCTCGCAGGACCAAACAAGCATAGCGCCGGGCCTGGTTGCCGGGCGTCGTCGGCTGCGCCTCGCCAGCGACTGCAGCCTTCCAGCGCTGGCCCCAGGTCAGGGTCGTAGATAGCATCCTGGATCCAAACCTTGCTCAGACAATCTGGACGCCTCTGCTGTAAAGCCTTCCCCGGGTCTTCTGGCCCCAGGTACCGTCAGCTCTCGGGAATGTGAGCCTGGTGCGGGGACACCCACACCCGACGGGTGCAAGCGATTGTGGATGCAAAACGTCGGCTCAACGCCGGCTCGGGCTCGACGAACAGACGGGCACTGATGATGTGTTGGTCCTGCGCTAGCAGACAGTTTACCAGATGCTCCACGCCAGCTCTCGGCAGTTGGCGTGAGCACTAACGGCACCCCCCGACGCGCTAGACCGCGAAACTGGCTCGGACGCTGCGGGCCCGATCCTCCATCTGTTGCGCTCACGGCTTCCGAAAAGGCTCCCTGGGTGTAAGGGCTCGGGATCTGCGTATTGTCGAGCGGGACAGCAGCGGCTGCAGATGCAGGTGACCATGTCGTAACACGCCGTAAGGAGCCCTTGCGCTCCTGACGCATGAAACGCTCATTCCACCTGTTCTCGTCCTAATTTGTTTTCCTCGAAACGTCCAGAAACTCCTTGCTCTGCGTGCTCTTGCGCTCGGCAGGCCCAACTTACACCAAGCGTGAACTAGCAAGGAGGCAGCCTGGAACCTGCGTGAGGCAAGGCGGTCGCTTCTGATGGAACAGACAGCGATTAGGTTCAGAACGGCCAGAAAACTTTGGATGCGCCTTGCTAGCCTTGCTGAAGCGAGCAAGAACAGCACCGACACCAAATCGGCCTCCGACGATCGCTCGTGCCGCTCACCCGCTCCCACCAGCGTCCCATGTGTCCCATGTTCCACTGTCACACCGTCCGCGCAAGACCGCACTGCTCGACCAATGCGGCGGCGCTTCCCCTGCATCCGCAATGTCGCTGACTGGCACCCGCGCAAAAGCGGGCTAGTAGACGCAGCTAATCGCAACCCGAGCATGTGGAAACAGTCTCAGCATGCTCTGCACGCAGCGGCACCCCCGCACCCCGCTAGACACCCCGTGCACCCCGCGTGCTGGCCTGAGGGGGCGAGAGTGCGACGCCGTGTTCCAGACAGCTTACGACCAGTGATAAGCAGCGCAAATGAGGGTGAGCGAGGGGAAACGAGTGCGCTGCGCGTGCGCAGGAGCCGCTCCCCCCACGCGTTGAGTTCCAGCGAGCCGCAGCACACGCCTCGTGGAAACCGTCTGCAATATGAAGGGCCGAAGACTGCGGCGTCGTGCACCATCTTTGCTTCGGCCCTCCACTGCATCCGGGGGTCTTTCGGCAACATCGCGTGCTGGCTTGCTACTTCGAGCTTCGCCTGGCCGTCTCAGGCGGACCGAGCGCCGCCCGCTGCAGATCGACTCTGATCCACCTGCCTCGCGACAAGGTCGGCTGGAGCAGCTCGACTCCTCAAACGGAAACGGGGTTCTTCTTCATTGCCTGCAATTTTGGCACATAACCGGGGGGGGGGGAAGAGCGACAACACGCAGCAGTTCACGAACAGCAAGGGCCACATTCGGGCCGTCGATCTGTGGAACGCGCCACGAGTTTCGATGGCGTTTCTGGAACATCTCCTCATGAACAGGTCTCAGTCGAAAGGGTGGTGCATGAGCCACGCGGCTTGGCCGGAGAACGAATGTCCGCAACTGACCACTCGACGGTCTACCGAGCGGCCGGAGGACGAGGGAAGGAGTGCCAGGTCCCTTAGGCATCCAGCGACCACGCGGCCGCATCTACCGAAACGCTGACCTCACAACACACTCACAGCAGGAGGCCGGCAGACAACACTATACTCACCTTGGCATCCCTCCCGACGCCGGCGGAGACAGCGTTCCAGTCAATCTTAGCGGCACGGGGGAAGATGGCCTGGAACAGGGCCCAGTCCTCGTCACCCGACCACTTGGCGCCAGTCGCAGCCGTCGCTGTGGACGCGGCAGCCTTAGTCTTGCCCTTGCCCTTTCCCTTGGTGGTCTTGCGCTTGGGCTTCTCGTCCAGGTCAAGGTCAGGCTTGACGTCCTCGTCGTCCAGTTCGTCAAAGTCGAGGTCGAGGTCGGGCTTCTCTTCGCTAACCTCGCTTCCGCCCTCGCTCGGCTCGCGGCTGGAGATGGAAGCGTAGGGCTTCGCAGCCTTTGATGCGGCGCGTGCAGGTCGTGAGCGCGTGGGAGGCATGGTGGTCGATCTTGGTGGGTTCTGTTGACGGAGGTGAGAGGGTGGCTTGGGAAAGGAGGCGGGGTGGGAGACGTGACAATACAGACACAGATGCCTGGGAATGATCAAAGTTGCATGCCTTGTGCTGCGCAGTGCAGTGCGCTGGACTGGGAGCAGCGGGGGCGAGAGTGCAGAAGCAGGGGCGAGGAGTGAGGAGTGAGTGCAGACTGCGCCTTGTGTGTATGTTGTGGAGAAGTGGGACCGACTTGGCGTACTGGCGTGGCGATCATGGACGCCCGCGTTGATGAGCTTCTGACACAAACTGTGCAATGTACCTGTAACGTTTCATTGAGGCTCACCACAGCTGTGCGCTCCCATCAGCAATACAGCAAGTCAGCTGTCCACGACAAGTAGATCTTTTCCCATTCACACGCGTTACTAACGCCAGCGCCTCATGAAGAGGTCCCAGTGTTCGGTCGAATGGCTCCACGAACGCCACATGATAATGGTGGCACCGCTAACGCGTCACGCTCTGGAATGTCTGCGCAACTTCTTCGGTGCAGAGTCGCTTCAAGCTTCACGCGTCACTGAGGGTGTCTGTATGAATGCTCCTAGGGCTGCGGTGCGCCTTTGTTTACATCGGTGCATGCTGTCGTTCTCGGCATTCAAAGTCAGCGCTCGGCGTTAGATAACATCTACCGGAACATTTGCCTGCACTTCCCACTCAGTCTGCACAGATAAGAGGGCTGCACCGCTGTCATCTCCCTGCACAGTGGCGCGACTCCTGCATGCCTCTTGCGTACAAAAGCCATTGGCTGAGCCCCTCAACTGCATAAGTCACCTCCCGTCAAGCTCACAAGTCGCACAGCGTCAGATTTGAGTGGGGACGTGTGAAGCTTTGCCGGGATACAGTCGCTCGCGGGCATGGAGACTTCCATTCCATGCAGTTGTCACTGTGCACCAGTGCAATGCCTGAAAGCAGCCGTGTCCATATTCACCCCGCGTCTGCAAACTAACTTGCAAATGGACTCAGTGACGGGCTGCCCAGCGGTTAGCGGACTCTTCTTCCTGTCACCTTGCCCTCGGCAGACCTCGGCCGCCATCACACCGATGCCTCTCCTGGCCCTCATAAGGCCCAAGCATCGGATCAAGTCACCCATAAGTGTCTGGGTCCCGGGGGCGGGCAAACAGTGAAAGCACAGCGAACGGTCAGAGACCGCTGTCGGCCAGAAAGAGATAGTGCCATATCCGTCCATATCACAGGCTAAAGGTGGACGCTCTGAGCCAGCCGATCTTCATCGCTCATCGCTCTCATCCCCCATAGAAGTCATCAGTAGCTCATGTCAGTCATTGTAGAGACAGATCACCCCTTAATACATGGCTCTACTTGATCTCCGGCCTCGGCAGCGTGCTCAGTTTCTCCCAACACCTCCTGAGTTCCTCCTCGCTAAGCCTCAGTCCCATCTCCTCTACGAGCCACTTCCTCGCATCCTCCTCCGAGTCCATGACAGCGACCTGGTCCGGCCTTCCGGGGCTGCGTTTCTTGACCACCCTTCCTCCGACCGTAACCCTGTCGTCGTCGCCATTCCACGTTGCGCACATGAGGTTTGTGACAAAGTTGCTCTTCGGATACGTGCACACCCACCAGTTGAACGCCTCAATGTCCGCGTGCACAGCCCCGGGGCGCGTGAGGCCGTACTGCGGCATCCAGTTGCCTTCGAACTCGCTCTCAACAATGAGATGAACGTCCTCGCCGACTTTGGCTGCGCCGATTTTCTCCACCACGTCGTGTGTTGCGGGTACGACGCGGAGGGTCTGCCACTCGTTTTTCTGCGGCTCGGGGCCCGAGCTGATGCACAGGGGCGTCTTGGGCGTCGTGGCCCCGAATCCCGGGTCGAAGATGTACGTGCTGTCGTCCGGGAAGGTGACGAGGGTGACTTGATGTGTCTGCGCGAGCGCCCTTTCGTTCGTGCCCACGTACACGCGCGCCATCTGACGCTCCGCCGCGAAGCCTATATCGGCCAGCGCAGGCTGGCACAGCTGGTGGTGCTCCATGCAGTAGCCGCCCCGGCCGGAGGCGAACTTGGCGTAGATCTCCTCCGTGTCCACGCTCACTGGGATGCCGCTGAAGGGCGTCACGTTCTCGAACGGGAAGGCGCGCAGGTGCGCGTGCAGGATTGTTGTGAGCGCGGCCAGGTCGAGCTTTGCGGGGCGCTCGAGGCCGAGCAGGTTCAGGTAGCGGTCGCCCAGGGACATGGCGGTGCTGCTAGAAGAGGTGTGGATGAGGGGTTGGGAGGATGCAGAGCCAGAGTTTCTTGGCCGATGAGTCATGACGATGGTCTCGAGGTGACTGACGGTGGGCCGGGCATCGGTTACGAGCGGGCCGGAGATCACGCGGGGGAGCCGAGATCTTGTCAGGCACCTATTAATTATCACCCATATCACCACGCGACAATCATCGATTCAAGCATCAGATCAGTAATCGAAATGACAACTATGCAACAATGGTAGAAACACTGCTCATCACATGCATCAATGGAGGGGGAGCCTAGTGTCCTCCAGGAGGGCCGAACACGCCGTAGCTGCCCTGCGGGAAGCCCTGGAAGCGCCTGTCTAGGCCGGGAGGGAAGTCAGGCGCCTGCTGCTGCTGCTGCGGCCCTGGAGACAGCGCACTGCCTCCGGGCGGTGCCCCGATTGGGCTGAGTCCACCGCCAGGCAAGCCCGGCACGCTCGGTGCAGACGGGCTCGGGAAGCGGTTACCCATGCCGCCGAGGCTGCCGACGCCACCGACGGGCGGAACGCCGGGCACAACGGGGCTGAGTGCGGGGCCGCCGCCCCACGAGTTGTTCTGCCAGATGTTCGGTGGCGCAGTCGACCACCGGCCGGCGCCGGGTGCCGACATCTTCCAGCCCGACGAGTTGCTGCGGCGCGCGGGCTGGACAATCTCGTCGTCGTCGCCGAGCGCGGCCGAGCCCAGAACCTGTCCGGGCGGAGGCGGCGAGGGCGCACGACCGGTGCCGACGGGGCTAGGACCACCAGTGGGAGGTCCAGCAGGAGCGCCGGGGGCGGCGGAGCTTCCTGGAATCGAGATGCCGGGAGGGTCGAAAGAGCCCGAGGGCACGCGGCTGCCGATGGGTCCAGGGGGTCCGATGGGGTCGGCAGGTCCGAAGAACTCGTGATCGTCGCCGAACAGCGAAGGCTGCGAAGACAAGCGCTGGCCGATGGGAGGAGGCGCCGGCGCACCAGGAGCGCGGAAGGGATCCTCGGTGGACAGGCTGCGGGAAGATGGCTTGGAGGCGGGGAATCCGACGGGGCGGCCAGCATCAAACTGGTCAAAGCTCTCACCAAAGCGAGACGTCGAGGGCGAAGCATTCAGAGGCCCGCCGTGAATCATGCCACCGTTGCCCTGTGGGCCAGGGAACACAGGCGACTGCGAGGGGTACGACGGTCGTCCGTAGGTCGGGTAGGGCGCAGGAGGGCGGGAGCCGTAGCTTGCCATGGGGACCGGCTGGCTGCCAGGCGCCGAGTAAAAGCCTTGAGGGGTCTTGGGAGGGGCGCTGCGGACGGGAGGTCCACGGCCGGCACCGGGAGTCGGCGGCGAGGAGAGGAGGCCAGGAGGAGTGGGTCCGTTGCGTCCAGCAGGTGTCGCAGGAGTCGTGCTGGCCTTGCCAGCCTGAGGAGGACGAACAGACGCAGCAGCAGTCTTCTCGCGGGCGGCCTTCGCGCTCTTCTCGGCCGCCGCCTTATCGGCAGCGGCCTTCTCGCGAGCAGCCTGCTGGGCAGCAAGAATCTTCTTCTGCTCAGCGGCGTCACGCTCGCGACGGGCGGCCTCCTCACGACGCTGCTTCTCCTGTCGCTCCTCCTCAAGCTTGGCTTGCCTCTCCTTCTCGGCCCTCTCGCGGGCCTCCTTGGCGGCACGCTCCTTCTCGGCGCGCTCTTTGGCGATGCGCTCCTTCTCCTCCTTTTCACGGCGTTCCTTCTCCTTCGCCTCGCGCTCGCGAGCTTCGCGCTCCTTACGGGCCTTCTCTTCGCGTTCGCGTGTCTTGCGAGCGGCCTCTTCCTCGCGGGCGCGTTGCTCTTCCTGGCGCTTCTTGCGTTCAGCCTCCTTGCGAGCAGCCTCTTCCTGGGCTGCACGCTTGACGGCCTCGCGGCGCTGGCGTTCCTCCTCTTGCTTGCGTTGACGCTCGCGAGCATCTTCCTGAGCCTTGAGTTTCGCCAAACGCTGCTCCTCGGCGAGAGCGGCCTCACGGGCTGCGCGCTCCTCGTCCTGTCGCTGCTTCTGGGCGCTGAACGTTAGCTATAAGTGTTCGTCACGACAGCTTACCGCTTCTTGTCCTTCTTCTTCTGGGCTTCCTTAGCCTTCTTCTCCTCCTTGGCACGCTTGCCCTCCTCCTCCATCTCGAGCTCGCGGAGCAGCTGCTCCTCGCGCTGCTTGGCGACGCGCTCGCGATAGGCTTGAAGGACGCGCTGCTCGAACATGCGGGCGGCAAAGATGGCGAACATCCGGCGCCCCTCATTCACGCGCTGCGACTCGGAGATGTCATCATCGTCATCGTCCTCGTCGGTCTCCTCCTGAACATCGTTAATGTCCAGGTTCTGCAGCTCGCGAATGTTGAGCTCCTCGCGGGCGACGCGCTTGACGGCGAGTTGCTCCATCATCTCCAGGAACTTCATGCCGTCGTTCTTCAGTAGATCGTCGGCAACCGTGATAATTCCCTTGATGGTCGCAAGTGAAGATCCGAATCCAAAGAAGTCGTCACCCGTATCGCCCTTCGGGCCGAGCGGCTTGGATCCTCCCTTGCGCAGTGGGAAGTCAACTTCGACATCGTCGCTTGCAATGTCGTCATCGTCCAGATCTTCGTCCTCGTCGTCGTAGTCCTCGTCGTCATACTCGTCGCTGCTATCGAGATTATGCTGATGTGCGGGATTAGGCGCGAGGTGATCGAACTTGAGAAGCTGGCCGCTCGGGTCGAGTTCGACGCTGCCAGGGAACGGCCCGGCGCCCGGTGGAGGCGGACAATCGGGGTGCCTTGTAGAGTTGCGCTGGAGGGCTGTGTACCGCTCCAATTCCTCGTAGTACTGCTCGTACAGCTGGTCGAGCTCCTTCTCGATGTTGACCTTCTTCCTTCCGCAGACTGCGCAACTGCATGAATGACGTTGCTGCTCCTTCATGCGGCGCAGCACGGCGTCCTTCTCGATCTGCAGCAGATCGCGCCGCTCAGCATCACTGAGACCAAGCCAGAACTCCGTAATGTGCTCGCGCTCCTCTGCCGATGCCGTTTGCCACACTTTCGTTGGCGCCTGGCTTGCGGCAGCCTTGCCTTTGCCGACCGACTTGCTTGACGGGGCATGGGCGTGGTGGTGCGTGTGCGCCGATGCAGAGACAGGAGCCTTGCCAGCGGCACGCACAGACCGTGGAACCGGGTTGGCTGTCGGTGCAGGAGCGTGGGTCATGGGTTGCTTGCCGGCTGCGCGAGAACTCGGAGGGGGTTGAGTCGGTACCGGTGTGACTGGAGGGGGTGGGGGGTTGAGAGAAGGTTGTTGCACAGGAGGTTGTGGGGGCACAGGTTGTCGCGGCGGTTGTCGCACGGCCGGGGGTGGCAGCGCAGCCGGGGGAGGGTCGCTGTGGTTCGCACTCGAGGTGTTCTTTTTCTTCTTCTTTTTGTTCTTCTTTTTAGGCGCAGTGTCGCCGTTGGGTTGAACATGGAAGTCGTGCTCCTCCTCAAACTCCTCCTCGTCTTCAAAGTCGTCTTCCTGACCGGCGGCGGCATCAGGGTGTCGGTGGAACCCGAGGTCCTCCGCGATACTCGGCTGAAGATGAGAGGCGCGTCCGTTCACCTGTGATAATAAGTTGGAACCGACGCCCTGGAGCCCCATACCTTGGCTCGCAGCATGCACTATGCGTTGAGCCATGGCGTAGAGGTCCTTTTGAGTCGCCTGCGGATCATTCGACGTGTTGCTGAGCCCATTGAAAGGGATCGCCTCGCGGATGAACTGGCGCACATGGGGCGGCAACGACGACCAGTATGGGTCGTCCTCGCCGTAGGCAGTCTCGCCCATTCTTTTCCAGAGCTCGTTCGCGGTCTCGAGAAGGTCTTCGTGCGTGATGTTGATGGACTGTGACAAGCCACCAAAGGGGCTGCCGTTCGCCTGGGGAACAAGGTTGCGGTCGCCGAAGGCGTACGAGGCAAAGCTGAACTGATCCTGTCGGGGACCAGAGGAGACTAAGCCTGCAGTGGCGGGGTGGAGGTGAGCGTCGGCAGCGTCGTCGTAGTAGTTGAAGCTGGCGGCGTCGGGATATGGTCCTGCGGCGGCAGAGAAGGCCAGCTTGGCGTCGAGTGCAGACGATGGAGCAGAGGCAAAGTCGTCGCTGGCAGCAGCGCCAGCAGCAGCGGAACCCTCTCTGCTAGCAGCGAGGGCCTTTGCAGCCTTCTTGGCCCGCTTCTTGGCCGCCGACTTGGAGATGCCGGTCGTAGCTGCGTTCGCGGCCGGCTGGGAGGACATGCGAGGTGGAGACTGCGGCTTGCGTCAGCAGTGCGACGGTGAAGGGGAAGGGGGGCGCGACAACAGTGCACACGCGCTGCGGGCGCAGCTAACGCGAGCGACAATGGGAGCACAGTCGACGGATCCAACCGACGCAACTGCACGAATCGGGTTTGTAGTGCAATACTGATGGAGGTCGCAATCGACGTGGTCGGAGGGGTGGCGACAGTGTGTTCGCGCAGCTTGGCCAAGACTTACCTAGCTTCACCGTGTGCACCCTCGGGACGTCCGGGGATGTTGCACGGGATCGATCAGTCGAGGCAGACGCACGCCGAGAGGGGAAGTCGAGCGGCAACGGGAGTCGAGGGCCGGCCCTGTGAAGACGAAGGTCGCTGATGCCGACTCGAAGTGGTTGACACAGGGGGGGTGGAGTTGGTTGCGGGGGTCGAGGCTTGCTGATGCAGCCGAAGCGGGGCTGTCGGCGATGCAAGCTGGGTAGTGG